AACTATTGAAATGGCCTAGCCTCTCACTTTGAAGAAGGTTAATTTCTTTTCACCCTTTCCAACACTTGGAATAGATAGACATATCCTTTGGGTTTTTTTTTTCAAGGAAGAATATCATACTGATTTCTGTTTTAGATGAAGTAGATTTGTCTTCCCTGGAAATTTGCTGTTAAAAGGTCTTCAGAGATACTGACAGATGGTACGCCATATATCTAAGATAAATGGTTGCCATTCTATCTCTTTTTTGCTAATGATGAATGGATGAATGGATACTCTCCCTATTCCCTCTTAAGAAAAAAGACAACTTTTAGTAACGCAGTTGTTATGAGTTTAATAGACAAACTACACCACTGGATTCTGCCTAGTGCTTGAAGTATTAATCCTCACAGAGGTGCCAGAATAAAGGAGGAAAAGGAAGAAGAAATTGTACCATGAGAAAAAAGCCTTTCATGCATGTTACACTGCTAAGTATCAATGCTATATAATTAAAAATAAAGGTGAAATGAGAGCTGATTGAAATACTGACCCATATTCCTGAAATAGTTTGATATAACTGTGTAGACTTTAAACTATGGAGAAACCTACTTGACTTTCTTCAGCTTCTGGACAGACCAGAGACCTCAGCTGTGAGGAAGACAGGTAGAAAGACTGCAACTGCTTTGGAGTAAAGTTTGGAAACTTACAGGTGAGGATGCTAATGTGACCTCTTCTATGACCAAAGTTACTGTCAGAAAGAAATAATATACAAACAGATTCCAGAAAAAAATTATTTACTTTTTTCTCCCTGATTATAGTAAAAATCCTTGTTAATGACAAACCTCTCATTTGCTTTGTCACACCTGCCCTCACCTGCATCACCTGCCCTAATTTTCTTGGAAGTAGTCATTGCTGTGTCTGTTATATTTCGACAACTTTATCTCAGCCCCACAGCTAAGACTTAGCCTTTGCCTGTTTAATTTCACATTGAAATTACAGTTTTTGCAGTTCTATGTACTATTCCACTGTTGTTAACTCTTGTAACCATTTATGAGTTAATATAGTAAATATAGCTTTGTGGTCTTTGAAATGTGAATTTCTTCTTAACATCTGAAGCCTGTTCAGATATTTGTTTCCAGAATGAAATCTGTAGAAACCTGATTTTCCCACCAGAATCATTCTAAAATTTTCTGTATTCAGTTTAAATGGATTATCTCCATTGTGGTTACATTTGATAATGATTCAGAGTTGATTAGTAAACTGAAGGCAACTGCTGCCTGCTGAGACACTGCACATGCAGTCCACCTCCCAAGAATAGCTCTAGCTCACAATCATTTTGCATAGAAGCAAACTAGTTCACACATCTGTGAGAATCATTCTTCCTAAAAATCCCATAGAACTGAGATCATTTGTATGTCTGAGACTGAGATTTTGGGAATTTTCCATGGACAGAGCTCTGTGATGCTTCTTAGGGAATTGGGATAGATCAGCCCTTCCCCAGAACCCTGAGACACAGGTTCCTCTGCTCTTCCTCTTTTGCAGGAATATCTACACTCTTTTTCTTTCTTTTTTGTTTTTTCCTGATTATCTTTCTTGAAATGCCTAAGTTTAGCCAGAGTCCAGGTAGTCTGCATTGCAATTACAGTGGTGTGTACTGAGTCATCAGTAGGAAAATTTGCAGTTCACTGAACACTAAAAATTTGGGCATGACGCAAACGCAATTCAATTAATACTAAAATGGAAAACTTCACAGGGGTCTACAGCACTGATTATTTTATTAATTGCATCTATTTTTTAATAGTGTCCACTTTAAAAGAATATATAATCTCAAGCAGTTCTGGATTGCACAGCACAAAAGGTTTACACAGTCAAAGGATTTTTCCTTAGGACTTAGGTCCTCTTTCTTGAACAGATAGTTGTCTTCTTTAACATTTATTCCTTTACCAGCTGCTAACAGAAGAGAAATATTTGAATTGTGGCACACCAACAAATTACCTTAGAAGAGTTATTGGATGCAAAGGATGTGCAAATAGAAACCTTGGAAACTGTAAATTCTCACATTCATGAACATGAACGCTTTTTCTTTTCTTTCCTTCATTCCCAAATTCATTTGCTCTGTAGATTTAATAGCTCTCTTAATCCCAGAAAAATGCAATGTATGAAGACAGTATACAGCCTTTAGGGACTATTAATGAAATGTATGCCTAATACCTCATGAAAAGGCATCTCCATCTCCTGACAAGATATCTCCATGCATAGTAGGGAACTAAGAGGGGAAATAATATGGAAGACATAAATTTCTGGCAGATCACCCACAAGACAATCACATTCTGGCAAAGATTGGTCTTCTTTGTTGTTTCACCAGCAGTTTGTAACATCCAGTCCAAGCAAAGCAGGGGCCCTCCTGCAAGCTCCCCGAGTGAAAACAGCCTTCATTAACCCCCCGAGTTTTTAGGGATCCCTTTTACTCCTTGTCTGCAAGTACCTGAAGGCCCACAAGTAGCTGAGAGCACCGTGGACACTAGTTTGGCTGCACCAGCTGAAAACTCATCAGAACGCCTAAATGTTGACCATTGAATACACACACAATGTAATAAATCAAAATGACACTCAGCTTGTCCTGAAACAAGGTTGCTGAGGAGGAGAAGTGTAGAAAGGTTGTGTATATGGATAGAAAGAGGTGGACCAGAGACGAGTTTTAAAGGACTCTCCTTGAAGAAAGCTGCTTGTGCAAGTTAAGGAAAAAAAAATTAAAAGATCCTCTGCTTGGTACCTGCTGTACCAGGTCCAACAAAAACGCCTGTGAGAATTGCTTTAAACTCTGCTGTTTAACCTCCTGAAGACATTAAACGCTGAAACACAAGATCTGTTCTAGAGGGAACCATCAGAGAAGGAGGAAGGACTGCTACGGCCTGTGTAAGACATGTGCGATCTGAACACCCAGCCAGCAACCAGAGTGTCCTGCACACTAGGCTGTGCCCAGAAGAATAGATCATTATACTTTGAAGTAAACATATGGGAAAAAACAAATACAAGTGGCTGAAAATCTATGTTTTTTGTTATGAGACATAGTATATAGACAGTCTGTAAATACTTTGTGGCAAAAGTGCTTCAATATAGTTTATCTTAACGTGCTGTGTGTTTTCTATTTTAATTTCATGCCTAAATCGATAGCTAATTATAATTTGACTAGAAAATAAGATTGCAATGGATATGATCCACCTGCTCTGCTGTTAAATTGTAATGTGGTTGGCTGGCTTTATAGCATTACCACAATTTGTCTATGCCATTTCCAGAGTCAATATAAGAATCAGGAAATAAATTTCTGGCAAATCATTTCAACACCATGCAGGATTTTCCCAGAAGCCCTTCGTTTGTGGCTGATGGAAGGTTTTGAAGTCTAATTCTTGACACTCAGTTGTCCAGCTTGCATCTTGGGTCTTATGACCAGATGCAAATTATGGAAACTCTGTCCAGGACCATAGTTATTTAGGCAATGATTATTAAAGCAATGCATCCTTGAAGAATCAAACAGTGCAACTGCCATCCAAATAACAACTGTGTCCTTCCCTAGGCCTATCACACAAACTCACATGTCCCCCCTATACACACATTATGAGAGAGTTTTTCTCCCCCACCCTGCAAACCTGTTAATAAATGGACAACTGGATATGTAAAAAATTCTCTTCTTTGTTTTTCATGCTCACCAGTCATTAGAGGGTTACTTTTCAGAGCAGCACAAAAAAAGAAGAGCTGGTTGACCAAACATTTTTTTTCTTACAAAGAGGTGTCAATCCTGAGCTTGTAATTAAGAAGTTAAAATCTGTGATTTATATATATTTATATATATAAAAATAGATGATCATACTAAGACTAAAAAAGTGAAAGAAATCTCCATGTCAGTACTATATATTTGTTCTGAAATTTTGTAGAAGAAATCCTTGTGACATTGAAATTAACTGATATGAAAGATGCAGTTAGGTGTGAAACACACTATTGATCCGATCGCTGTTAGTCCATTAGAGAATTTCTGTCTTGGTAGGATAATGAACATAGTAGCAGGAAGTCCTAATCAATGTCAGAACAGTGACAAAAGGAAAGAGATTATATCACAAGAGATGATTTTCTGTCCGAACCCTTGAGGGGAGGTTTGTCAGGAATGTCATTTAGCATTACCACCATGGTTTACGGTGAGCTAAGTGGAAAACTCTGCCAATTGTATAACATGGATAAATCCTAAAAGAAGCTAGGTGAAATCATGCTACTACTCAATTTTTTACTGGGCATTAAGATTTAAATCCTAAACAACTGTAACATGATATTCTGAAGCTAGTGGAGTTACTATCATACTAAAACTTATTTTTCAGCTTCTCTACCTTCATACCAATCTGATGTGGTTGGCAGAAGGAGTGCAAGACATTCATCGCTGAGACATACTTCTGTGTTGGAAAAAAAATACAGACTTCCTCCTTAGAGCAGTGATCATTCTTATGACCTGAATCATCCTACAGAAGTTCTTAAAGGAAACCTGGCTGTCAGTGAAGAACGGTTGCTTATTTTTTTTCTTTTTTTTGTTTTGTTGATATTCTGTTGAAATGCAGCAGCCTTGAGTCAGGCCTGATTCAGAAAGAAAACTGTTTTCTTGGTTTCTTCCCCTCTCTTTTTTCTCACTAGGGAAAAACACACACTGTAAGATCCTTTTTTACTTTTGCAGCATAAAAGGAAATGAAGCTCAGAAAGTCTGTAGTAAAGGGTTGAGAAAGAATTCTCTCAAGAGTGGATAGAGTCTTCAGAGATATCTGAAAAAAAGCAGGAAGCAGTTCAGTCTGGCACCTGGTACTCTTTGGGAAAACAAAAAAGGGAAGCAGGTTGCAGTACTGCTCTCTTCTTGTAGAAAACTGCAAGTGTTTGTGGCATGGTCCATTGTCCAAGAGTATAAGAAAACAAGAAAGTTGGCTGTTTCTGTAGCTAAAACACAGTTTCTCTGACCAGATCCAGGATTATCTCCACTGTCTCTGTAGTACGAGACTGATGAAGACAACAAGCAATGTCTGCAGTGACCAGCCAGGCTGTGTGGCTGAAGCCTCCACCTCCCTCCTGTCGGAGTCAACTGGTGGTGCTTCAGTAGTGATGAAATCGAACTCGGTGGGACATATGTCATCTGTACAGCCGCTTCCACTGCCTGAGCCGCTTGTTTCATCACCTGGCATGAAGGAGTGAGGGAAACAACATGAGGGCCATGGGTAACAGGCTTCATTCCTTTTCTCTGTTCCCATTCCACCCGGTGGGGATGAACACCTTGGAAATGGGAAAGTTTTGGTGGTGCTAACTTTCATTCAGTCAAGCATCCAAATGAAAGTCACCATGACTTAATTACGTGCTTAAGAGCTCTTCTGAAAAAGGAGTGGACTGCATTTGACATGCAGATAAGCAAGAGAAGCAAAAGAAACAAATATATAATTGTAATTTCATGGGGCAGAAGAATAATTTTTTTATGTTCTCAACGGCACAGAGCACAAAGACCAAAGAAAGCCATTGCAACAAAACCAGTGCATAAATGTCTTCCAAAACCATACTTATTTAATGACAGTTAATGTTTTCTTACTTGTATCCTGGAAGTTGACATCATTTCCATTATACGCGTTCTTCAGTTTGTTAGTCATGACACGTAAGGCCATGATTTGTTGTCGAATGAAGGTGTCTGGCCTTGTGATGTCCACATCCACTTCTGGGTTGTTGATCTGGTTGGTCAAACCATCATTCATAATCTCAGGCAAGTATCTATATAACAGGATGAATGATTAATTTAAAATGCATAAAGTTTCAGAAATACAGCACTGCACAGTCAATGCTGTGCCAAGCACCTTGACACTGATCATGACTACACAGTTCTTAAAGAGATCCAGCGAAACCACTTCAAAACCATGTTTTTTAATTTCACAGACTCCAAAGGATCTTTGTAGTACCTCAGCTGCATGGAGAGCAGAAAGAATTTAAGCTCTCCAACCTCCTAACACTGCACATAGTCCACAGCAAAGGTACTGGCTCTGTGAACTATGGAAGTTCACCAGCCAGCAATAAGTCACTGCATGTTCAGATCCTCCACTGATATGAATGGTTGCACACTAAATGAAGCATCTAACAGTGCATTCTTCTGTTTTTATTTCATTCTGCTTAAAAAATATGAACTCCTCTGTTACATTTACCATATTTGTTGTTCTGAGATAGTTTAGAAAGCTATCTTGAGGCATTATGACTCTCCTTGTTTAAAGGAAGCAATTAATTTTCTTGTTGAGTTCTTTGCCTTTTGATCATTGTGAATAACATCTCCAGTCTGTGTTGTAAGTTTACCAAACCCCAGTATTTTCTTTGATTTAGTCCTTATTCCTTACAAGTAGTTTATACTTGCATCTCGCATGTGCTTTGTAGGTAACATATTAAAGGTATGGCATTTGCTATCTATCTACACATCTGAATTTTTTATTCAGGCTTTTAGCTTATCGTTTCTTGATTACTGCATCATTCCCTTCTCTGACCTTGGCAAATGAAGTCTTAGGCTGTTCACAGGCATCAAGTGTGCATTTGCAGGTATCTCTCCCCTGCAAAAATCAGCCCATGCCTCCAATCATCCTATGGTAAAAGTCTTTATCATCTTTTGTTAAATACATACAATTTGTCTCCTGCTGCTCTTTGTCCTCAGGAAACTCTCCTTTTAAGCATCTGCAAAGCTGCCCTTTTTCCTGCTTTGAATCTCTGTTAAAATTTATCTGTGCATTTTACAGCTGCTAGGCTGATAAAGGGCTGACATTATTTCTCTGTGCTGGCATGGTGTCCTGAGAAAAGACAGTATCGCTGCTTTTGTGCTGTCTTTCGTCTATCTTTAAATGCCTACTATCTTTTTCCTATATTTAGACTGCAAGGGATTTGGGGCAGATCTACCCTTCCTTCATGTTCTTCATCAGGATATGATCTATTTTGTAATTAGTCTGCATACCAGGCTATCCCACTGATGTTTGTGGGACTCCTTGTGTGGGTATGTGCTCAGACAGTAATGATAGCACAGTCTAGCCTACTAATAGCAAACTTTCATGATGCATGGTACCAAATATAGTCTAAGAATACTTCACTTCACTCCCACTTGTGCCAGCCCAATTGTCTGTCAGTATTCACATTTGGCATTAGTGCTGGTGTTATGCTCATATTGGTCTGGAAAATAAACATATCCCTTAAAAATAGCTGTGAAAGTAAGGCAGAATAAAGGACTTTCTCTGCTGAAGTCATGGTTAAAGGAAAATAAGTTTTGTATTGCTTCTGGAGGTTCACAAAGTGACAACTGCTTTGCTGCACTAGGGAAGGGTTTAGTCTTGCTGTAATAGGTCCTAGCTTTGCAGGATGAGACTCATTTGTCATCAGTGGCCTTTGAAAGCTTACATGAGAATAATCCTGGGGGAGTGTGAACATATAAGAACAAAACATGACTGCCAAAAATACCCAGCCTCAAACTGCATGTCCCATTGTTTCATTAGTACCATAACGAGAACTAACAATGCTGTAGGCATCCCATCCAGACTCCTGTGGTACAGGCTTAACTATGATGAGAATACAGATCCACCTCCCCTAGTACTGAGGACTGCAGACCAGAGTGTTATGAATCACCAAAAATAGAAATTGGAAATAATTCTGCAGAGCTGCCTGGAGGCAGCAGGGTGGAGACCTTGGCATGCAGGGAAGCTCTGGGCTGCAAAGGAACAGCACCTCCATCTGTCACATGTCTCTACAAATGAAATGGCTACTGCAGATAAATTACTCAGCCTAGAAATAAATCAATGGTATCAAGGTGCAGTTGATTAAAAAAGGTAAAAATGTAAGAATTACCCTACTGGCTCAGAGAGGATGTCCATCTTGCCCAGTATCTTGTCCATGACAATAGCCATAGCTGTTAGCAGCCAGAAGTGATTAGAAATCACTGAGCGTTCATGTGGATTGCTTTCCTTGTTTATGAAGGGTTAGCTGCTCTTTACTGCAATCCACCCACGAAAGCTATGGCTAACTCTGAACAGCAGTTCAGAGGCTTTCTTTGACTGATCTATGTTTGATTTCATCCTGTCTTATCGCCAATAATAAAAGAAGAATGTACTGACTTCTTAGTGAGCTTTTTATATGGAGACAATATGAGTTAGTTTGGAAATTTAAAACAATTAGAGTGCTCTGGTGTGTACTTTTTATTGAGGGTCATATTCTGCACTGTAATCAGTGCAGAATATGACATCCTTCTGAAGACCATCTATCTTTATTTGGACTAGCCCATTCAGTTGTAGGAAATGATCCAGTCAGACTGTCACACCCCCTGCAGTATCTGCCTCAGGATCTGGTGATCCCCAAAGCATTCCTGGCATGGAAGGAGAATAGTACAGTGAACCTCACATAGCTGTGCAAGGGAACCATGCTGATGTGAGTCAAAAGAAATCCATTACATCATGATTGCCTAAAGGTTAGTTGGATACTTAAATTCCCAGGTGAATGAGCCTCTTGGCATTTAGAGCATAGAGGCTGAAGATTCTTCTTTAGGTTTATACAAATACCAAAACTTATACGTCTAAGTGTAAGTGTCTGCATATGAGCAGAGTCCCACCTTCATCAGATCTAGTCAACACAAGATCTAGTCAAAACTAGTCAGGAGTTTATTTGTCAGTGGAATGTGGATAGCTGTTGGACTCCCATGTGCCTTTGGCCAGATGACTGTTCATTAGATTTCATGTGCTGGGATTTAGTTCCACAAACATAGACATCTGGTGCCATCTGAATGCTTTTGGTTATTCCACTTCTCATTACTAGCCCTGAAAGGTGCGGCTTTCTGCATCATATCTACAGGCTTGAGGGGAAGGTCTTGGACATTTGAAGCATTTCCACTATCAGTTCATGACAGTTTCTAGTCTGCCCAGTTCTCCTTTCCGATCAGATGAGCACCTGTTAGTCTCAGGACCAGGCAGCCCACTTTAACTGTTCAGACACCAGCACAGCTTCTGAGATCACCACAGTGTACCCTAGCACTCTCACATTCTGGTCACAAATTCTGTAGTCACACAAGGCTTGCTATCAACACTCAAAAGCTGAAAGAGCAGGTCTACAAATGAAAAGGCACTGTGCTTAGCCAGCCACCAATTGCCCCACTTATGTCTGAAGGAGGGCAAGTAACAGCTGTAAAGGAGCACTTCAGAGCCAACAGGGATTATAACATACTCGGCCAAAACAAGGCCAGCGTTACTTATTTTCAGCAAACATTAGATGATTTTAGGTATCTTTCCTTAGGCAGCTGAATGGAGTCTTGTGTGCCACTTTAGCTACCAGGGTATATGCTGCTTGGGGTCCTGCTGCCACTCCAGTAAGGTTTAAATACCCTGTAGGTCCAGTGTCTTATTTTCCAGTTCCATGAAGGTGTCTTGAATATTTCGACCATCTCACATAGCAGTAGATAAGTGTGTTTAGGCAGTGGAAAACTTCCTCGTTGACTACACTGGCAGGATATTTGGGGTCTTTTCAGGCACATTGACATTGGTGATTATTAAAATACTCGAGCAGTTCTAGCCCAGACTCTGGTCCAGATAGGAGCAGTGTCCTTTCTCATTACTCACCTCAGACATGCTAGAGAGTCTCAAATGACACTGCTCTTGCTTGGGCAACACAAATGGCTCCTTGTTGTGTCACCAGTATTTAAGTGCACGAATTCATATGTCTGAATGTGAAGCTGGATTCTGCCCTCATTATTGAATTACTTCGCCTGCTTCCTCAGGGGAAAAAAAGGCAGAAAAGCCAATACTGGATGTAAATATTTTGAACTGTTTTCCTTTCTTTAAGGGACTGGTAGAGATATGAGAACACGCAGCCCAAGGTGTTCCCTGAGTGACAGACTCTGAAAGCCAGCCAACACATGTTCTGACAAAAACATTTGATATGTGTGGGGTAGGGTTAAGTCACACTGAATTGGAAGTCATATCTTGGGACCAGTTTTTGACAGAAGATTTGTTGCTGGCTGGGGAAAGTTGTTGGACACATCTGCTTTTGCTGCAGTTCTGTAAGAGGAGACACCCCCGTGAATTTTAAGCTTTGCTGCTGCTTCTGCTCTTGTTAATGATCTCTTTGTAGGCCTGGCCATTACAAGAACTGTATGCCCATTATAAATGAAAAGAAGTGCCAACCTGAATCAGTGTCTGTTATTTGCATCATCCTAGCAAAAAACCCAAAAAAACCCCCAAAAAACCCGTCACTTGCTTTCTTAGCCCTTTGAGTATAGAGAAGCTGAACAATAGCGTTTGTTTTCTGCTGCTTGCTCCTTGCTCAGCTATGTCAGATTTTAGTGTAATTTACATTGTTTTCTAAAATATTAATGCTTTCTGTTCCTCTTAGCCTTTCTATAGTTCTTGCTTGTCTGAGCAGACACAACAAAGACGTCTTTTGGCACATCATAGCCAAGTACCACAAAGCGTATTTAAAACCTTTTCTTAAAATATCCAGCTAATGTTCCAGGGTGTCTGCTTCCTTTTCAAGTCTAGAAATGACTGATGAATCAGGTCACTTATATAAAGGCTGTAGCTAACCCTCTCCCCCCCCCAAAAAAAAACCCCAACCCAAAACCAGAGAAGAAATCTGTTTTTTAGAAGACATCTGCCTTAAAGGGCAGCATTCTTTATATTTTTCTGCAACAGCAGCTGCTTACAGTACAACTGGAGCATCCCACCTAGGCAGTACTGGAGTTTTTCCAGGTGCACAAAATTGTAGGCAATAGAGTACAATATACAGCACAGGCTTACTCAGGCTGGGTGGGGAGTAGGCAGTCACATCTGGTCCAGAAAGATAAGTGCAGTGGAAAATTGGCTTGTTGGACTAACTAGATCACCTGATACGATTCTGTTTGCTCAGGACCTAATTCCCACAGGATAGTTTCAGTTTGGGTTTTATTTTTTTTCTCCATCTTGGAGAAAAGCTTGAAGAGACAGAAGGGAGAAAATGGTTCATCTGCCAGTTTGTTGGAAGGAAGAAGTTGTAAAAAACAAGCTAGAGCCATCAATTAAGAATTGACAGTTTTTGCACTTACAAAGAAGTGGTTTATTCACACTCTCACTAATGGTGCTAAATTGTTATCTTTGCCTACTTCCTGGTAAAGGACATTCAACTGATTCTCACTGCAACCCTTGTTGGTCAGTAACAAGCAACTTTTCAAGAGCAGGCACTGATCTGGTGGGTCTTTCTTCCCACCTGAATTTCACCAGAAATTAAAGGCTCTCTGCCAGGGAAATAGGCACTCCCATACATGTGACAGGAGAAGAAGAAAATTTCAGGCCAGCTGAGACTCTATTCTGTGTTCATTTCAGTGAGATACCTCGTAGTTTTAAGCTAGATGTTGAAAATTACAGGGTTACATTTTTCTTTTATTCCATTCTCTATTTTTTTAATCTGTTTATAATTGCTGTCTGTTTCATATATAATTCCATTTCTTCTTCATTGTACTCGGAGGAGTAATAGGTTCCTCATGGAACAGAATGCAGGTCTCATCTCTTCCATAAATTACAGACTTCCAGAGCTAAGACATATTAATAAATCTATAGTCCTGGTAAGCAAAAGCAGCAGGATGATAGTGCATGAGCACAATCTCTCAGATGGATTAATTGAAAAGGATTGGCTGAGTTAGTTGGAACGATTTGAGGTTCTTCTCCTGACCAGAGTAGTTGCAGATTTGATTACTGTTCTCACTTTAGTAATAGCGACTTGTTCAAGGGCTAATACACTGTATTTGCTTCAAGTCCTAAAGCCTGACTTCCATCATTCTTGGGAAAATTCCTTGATTCCTGGTGAATGTCTATTAGTGAAGAGGTTATCAGCTGTTGTTAAGAATTTATCCTTGTATAGGAAAGGAGTTAAACTTTTAAGGTTTGATCTTAATGATGTTTTTTAGATCCTAAATATCTTTAAAAAATGTGTCTCTGTACATCTGACAGAAGACGTTAATTCTTTAAACATAAAATTATGTTCTTTTGTAAATATAGATAAGATGGCAAGTTCCGTTGGGTGTTTCTCTAAAAGACATTTTGTCTTAAGTAGCTGTTACTTTTTAATGTGGATTTTTCAAAAAACCAGATTCATCCAGCTAATAGATGTTTTACCATTTCCACAACACTTCTACCTGACATGACCTGATTAAAACCGTTCTTCGTACAGGATCAGCAATGAGCCAAGTGCACCCTTCCAGAACACCTTCCAGAGAATGGATGACTCTCTTACCCCATGATTATTTCCAAATTGGTGACCTTCATTTGGCAACCTGTTGTCACTGTATATTAATCATGGCAGCAAAGTGATATCTGGGGAGTGTAATAACCACAAGTGACCTTGGTGTAATAACTCTCTCAGGAGAAAGCCTAGCTTTCATTTTCTGTGACCTCAGGTTTGTAACACTTTTCCCCTGTAAAAGCAGCATCAAAAGGTGATGTGTAAAATGAAACATGAAGCATAATGTCTGTGTGGCAATTCAAAGTTTCTAATTCATTATACCACAGGATCTGATCAAAACCCAGCAACAACCTCCTTTCCTAACACTAGCCAACACCATGTTGTCTTTTTATTTGTGATATTAATGCCTAGGAACACAGGAGATGGCTAAATTTCATGTTTTCTATCATGGGTTATTGTCATATTCTCTGGAATTCAAAATGCAGCTCCTCATATAGCACAGCGGTGCTTATGAGAGGTGACACAGTGGGCATGATTAGATATATGCATATTGGCCAGGTTTTTGCCACCCTTGTTCTTGTGAACTAGCATTTGATACCAGACACTAATCAATATGACGAAAGGAATATTAATGGTTTGTCTTTACGCTGCAGTAAATGTCCTTGTTCACCAGCCAAGAGGTAATTTTACATCTAAAGCAAGTTATTTTCAATAATATTTTCAATATTATTTAACACACATGCCATGGCATTCTGTGGTATCTTCTGATTTATTACTGTTCTCTCTACCTGAAGAATTGATTGAATTCTGTTATTAAGACTATGACTATACATTGCTTCTGTGAATGGATATGAAACAGAAACTGGACAGAGGAGCAGTGGCTGGGCTGGCTGAAGCTGTTTATGTTAATCAAGGAGATTATCAGCAGAGGATAGATTTTCTTAGTGGCTCCAGAACATTAACCTGAGAAGACATCATGAAAATAACCAGGCTTCTCTTAAGATAAATACTGCAAAAGGAGGGTGAAAACCTAAATGCACCTCCATAACTCCTAACAAATGTGGAAGTTGTGCCAGACCCTTCAGTGCTGGAGAAGAAGAGAGCTGAAAAGTATCAGCCAGACGTGGTACTGACACTAGCATTGGTCATAGAAACCAACAGGGATATTAGCAGGTTTGGTTACTCTTTTGTAGAAAGCATATATCTCTTATTAAAGCATGCATCCTGATGTGTCTCATGGCATCCAGCTAGGAGGCCTGGAAATTCTGTTTAACTGCTGCAGCACACTGGCCTGGGGTCATATCTTACAAAGCCCAACGACAAAAAGAGATATAATAGAGGAAGATAAAACCAGTTTTTTATTTCTCTCTTCACACTGTTCCTTTGTGGTGAGTCCTGTAGCAGCCAGACACTCCTCCTACCTGTCTTTCTCAGAGTCCCCAGGGACTTTCCCTGGATCTGAGGCTTGGGAACTGAGCAGTGACTTGTGCCTTTGGACAGATTTGTACATATGCATGTCAAAGTGGGTTTAAACGGGCTAGCAGCATCCCAAACATCCTTCTGCTCTCGTCTGTAAAATGAATTCTTTTGAGCATTATGTAGTAAGGCTAGAAAAAAGGGTGAGCATTCAGTGCAAAACCTCTCCCTGTAAAGTGTGTTCCTTATAAAAATGATTAGATTATGGGGTGGGTGCAATGTATCTATGTATCTGTCCATCCACCCATCCATGCAAAATGATGTCTTATTTTTATTGAGTTTTTATATTTTATGTGTTTGTCTCACTCTCCACCCTCCCCACCCCCCCTTTTTTTTTTCTTTTTTTTACTTCTTTTCCTTGGTTTTGATGCATTTTTTTATTCTGGCTTCATATGTATCATCAGGTAAAAGGAAAATAAAAGATTCCGGTCCCCAAGTGCCAAGAAGTATCACTGCTCTCCTGATTCAGCGCTCACGGGACACTCAAACCTCTCCACTCCTCTTGTCTCCCCAAAAATACAGGCTACCACTGCAGACCTGGATCCTGACTGCCCCTGGCATGGTCCTTGAATCAATTCCTTCCCCTCTTAGCAGGGATAATCAGATCCTCTCCTTTGTCAGTTGATGAATCCACACTGGGACCTTTGGAGACACCTGCTCATCTGCCAGCTCCAGCCCTGCCACAGCCAGAGCCAAGTAAACTCCACAGAAAACTCATCACAAACAAGGGTGGATGACCACAGTATCTCTGATCAAGCAACATAAGGTCAACCCTTCTACAAAAGTAGGAGTGTTATGTTTATTCTCTGCTGGCTGTTTTTCAGGTTTTTCTTACTTTTTTCCCCAGCAAATAGCCCTAAGCTTTGCCAGCCAATCACAAATAGAGCCGAATTTCCAATTTCTGTTTCATCCCAGTATGATATCCTGAGAGTGCAATTGCTTCACAAGCTGTCAGTCCCAATACAGGGATGCTGAAAGGAGCTAAACAGCTCTTTGAAATCTTGGTATAAATTATCCTTTTGGAGCTGAACCAATGAATATTTTCTGTGTTCGCATGCTGACACAGTGTGCGCATTTACCCTGACTCACACTCTGGCTTTAATGGCACTTTAACAATAAGTAATCTCAGCTACAAACTGCAAGTTTCTTCCCATTTCTGTTCCACTCTTACAGACAGTTTTGTGAAATACCCTTAGTTTCATAGTTGCTTCAGGCCAAATGGGAGTTTGGACTGAGTGTGGTGGAGAGGGGTCCACCTCACCTTGCCTTGGTGTGGCCGTTCCAGCAGTCTTCCTCAACTGATGGACCGGCTGTCACTTGCTCATCCTTGCAGATTGTGTAGGGTAATGTTGACCAGAACTTTTTAGAGAGCTTTAGCTTTTCTTTAATATCTGTTACCTGATTAAGAGACAATGAGAGGGAAAATAGGTTAAAAACATTATCCATGCTATCACGTTCAATAGTAGGTTGTTTAATTCCGCAATGGTGATGATGATGAAGGTTAAAAGGGCTGAAGGTGCTAAAACTTAGATGCCTGTATTTACAAGCAGGGCACTCAGCATCTGGGTTCAGACAGTACAAATAATCAAAGTCATCTTTTTTCACAGGCAAGACATTAATAAAAGTGTGTTACATCTTGCTCTGTCTAGTCTCCATTTGTCTCAGGTTTTCTAAATATATATCTTTCTAAGAATTAATATGCCTTGCAGTCTGCTGAATGTAAATTCAGTTAAACAGTGTACATCAGATAAAATGTCTCACCCACCAACTTGGTCATGTCTTAGATAAATATTATATTTAGAGCTCCATGCACGGGTTCTAAAAAAATGGTGCAGTGCTGAGTTGATGTTGAACTGATTTGAGATACACAGGCTGAATACATTGCAGTACGTTTGGATCTCAGTAACAGCAGGAAGTTTGTGTATATACATGCATGCAGAGACTATATCTGTCTCTGAGGTTAGGAGCAGACAGATATCTGTAGCTGGATACGGAATCCACGTTCAAGAAACACTGGGTCAGTAAGCAGATTCTTTATGTTATAAATTCCTTGAACAATAATTTAACTTGTCATAATTCAAGCATCACGCAGGAACAAACTGATTTTCCAGCATCAACTTAATAAATAAATGCTCTAGTTAAAATGTTATCAGTTCTTGCTTTGCATTTGGTATACTAGAGTGCAAAACCCTACAGGAATAGATAGAAAACACAACAAAGAACAGACTACAAAGGATGAATGGTGTCACTGTTGTTCTTATGGAAACAGATGCATTTCACATGAAGTTGTAATAGGATTTAGGGGAGCTTGTTGAATAGCTTTTAAAGGAAATTGCTGAGCTTTATTCTTTAAAAAACTGAGAAATAAAAGCTCTCCATTCTTCCATTCAGTTCTGAGATTGGCTTTTAGGTTGTTGAAGTACAATATTGTACTCGGCTCTTTATCTCTTTTATCTTTTGTTCAGAAGACATGATAGCTCTCCGAGCAAATGGCCCACACTGTTTTGCCATGCTTAAACTCTGTGGAATAGTCACTTTATAAGCTAGGAGACAGAAACAGCCAGAAATGTTATTTCAGAAGCACTGTCCGCATTTTCACCTGTAAGAAATAAGTAGGAGAGTATTTGGCTGCATGGGTTGTTGACAGTGTTTTTTGTCATGGCCAACACCTTATAAATCTCCTCTGTGCCCCTTGCCAAGCCCTCATTGCTTTGTTTTCATGTGAGATACTAGCAGCATTTGCAAGCCTTTAAAGCCTCAGTAGGGGAGCTGTGTCAGGACAAAAATTAAATTCCAGTTTACAGACCAGGGGCAAGCCTTCAGCACAAGTGGGGATGGTCTAAGGATGCCTGCTCTTTCTGATGTCTTTGGCCCATGGGACTGGGGACTTTGGGCAGACAGCAGTCCCTCTTCTTCCCCTTCTGCCCATGCTGGGGTAAAATCCCCTAGGTCCCTGCTGGTACAACCAACCAGCACAAGAAACTCAGTTAATCTGTGTGGTGCTCATGGAAAGGTGTGTAAACTCCTGTTATGCCAAAGTGCAGAAAATCAGAGAAATCGCTTATAAGATGTAGGAAGGAGAGTTTACAAAGAGGAAGGTCAATTCATATAAGCTTGGGGAACACGAGTCAAAGGGACAGATTTTCTCATTTATTACTTGTGCTTGGCTAACTACAAAAGCAATCAGACTGGTCGGCATTGAGCAATTAGTTTTCAGAGCAGTAACTGTTGTTAGTTGGAAGTTAATTTAAGGTATTCAAAACTCAGATGTTTGGACTTATATTCAGATTTCTACCGTAATCAGATTAGAGTTGGTGCTCTAGGACTTGCAGACTTCTGTTTTGAACCACAGTGAGTGAACATACATTGGAAAGTGATTTTCCCCCTGGCCCTTGTAAGGGCTGCAATATTGAGTACAAACCTTGTATTTTCATAGAGGTCAGCAAAAGAATAGAGGTTCTCACAGCTCACATGCTGCACATGGTCTCCAGATACTCCCTGAAAATCAAAATGAGGACTCCCATTCCCCCGTTACTTCTGAAGTTATTAAATGATGTTTACATACTCTGCATGTGTACTGCATACAGATAACAATTCATTAAATTTTCTAACAATAACTATGCGTTTTTTGGTTTCGTTTTTTTTTTTTTTTTGTATTACAGAAGTACACCTGGTAAAGGTCTTACTTTACCCAGGATTGTTGGTAAATGACAGCTAATTACATTCCATAGACATCCCCCTGAGGTGTCATTTCCATTTTAGAGCCTGGGGGAAAGGGAGACATTTACATGAGTCACAAAATGCAGCAATAGCGAAAGCGAATGCAGCTTAGGGAAAGGTTACCATTTGCAGTCCTCTATAGATCCTGCCAATTCTGGTACATTCTAACACTTTTTTTCCCCCTCAGATATTTCCCTTTGCAGCTATTCTTCCCTCCCCACTGCATTATTTCTCCCCTGAGCTTTATACGACTTCTGGACTCATCCTGTGAAGTCTTGCTTTTTCCTGCTGTGTCACTGGATCTCCGTAAACCCTCTCAGCTTTTGGTAGTGGTGTTTACACATTTACCTACACAGTTCTTTGAACTTCATCCTGAAACCGGTATTCTAGAAGTGCAGTGTGGTTTCTGATGGCCTTGAAAGAGGAATTAGGTACACTGATTGATTCACCTCCTCTTTCAGGGAGTAGCCTGATGGCCATTTTCACTTCTGCATGATGAATGTATGGGCAGGCAATGACTTTGGAATACTTTTAATGTAACTTTAAATGCAGAATAGAAGTAGGCAATGTGATGCCTGCCATCACACGTAAAACTTTTCCCTGTGGGTTTCGGTGGCTTCAGTTCTGGGATGTCCTCAAGCACAACCACAGAAAGTCTCTTATTAGTCCCCATGGTTATACATGTTCCTTCGTATATCATTTTGGTCACCACAGCCCTTAAAAAAATATGTAACAGATGTACACTCCCTTGAAAACGAGATAAAAGCCACTAAAGGATTCACTTAACATTGCTTGCTTGTGATTTATGAAGTCAGGCTACTGTATTCCTTCCCCTAGTGACCTGTGGCCTTGTAAATGATTACTTAGTATTTCCTACTCTTTGAATTAAAGATTAACTTTCAAGCTTGGTTATACTTCTGTGGAAACATTTAAACATAAGGTATATGCAATTTTGATATTTTACATATTTCCTTTCAACTTTCTTTAGCAGAGATTTATTCAGATTAAGATAACTGGGTTTCTTGGGCTGTACTTAGCCTGACTTTCCTTAGTTATCTTCCTGTCATAGCCCTGATATTATACCAAACTCTTTTTTCAGCTACTTTGAAAGTACTAAATTTGTTTTGAATTGCAACACTTTCTCATAGGAAAAGGGATATAGCAAGAGCCATGCAAAGAATTAAATTTTTAATTTATTGGGGAATATATAGATATTAGAATACCCTGGCCTTCATCTAGAATTGCTAACAGAGAAAAGCCATTACTGTGTAGGTGAGAAAAGTTAAATATTTGCATCATTTCCAAAGAGAAATTCATACCTAGAATTATGGAAATGGTATAGTTACATGTCATACATAGAGAAATGCAGTTAATTTCTTATTCCTGACACTGACTTCTTATGAGACCAAGTCAGTCATGTATGTCATGCAATTCCTCAGCAGAACTTGGCACAGCACCCATGAACTCAGTTCCAGTCCTACCAGCATGGGCACAGTTATAAGCAGGTAAATAAAGCTGACCAACATTCTGTGTTCTTTACTCACCTTGCACTCCAAAGTAATGAAGCAAGCTAAAAAGCAAGTCCATCATTTTAGCAGGAATCAGACCTTAGCGTTCCTTGGTTTATATTCAGAACATCTAGATAAATGGACTCACCACGATAGTTCAAAAAAGCTTTGAAAATACCATGCAAAACTAAAAGTGATATGACTGCATTTTATAAGGCACGGAAGATCCCAGAAAGACACTTGCTTGTGAAGTGGGCAGGCAAATTGTTTCAGGGCCCCCACCTTTAAAATTTGCTTTTTTGCCCCTATTGTTTCTGAGCACACATTATCCCACTGCTGAAGAAGCATGTTTCCACTGGAAATTAAACTGAAGTGTCACATACTCTTTTGCCCTTTAATTCACAGGCAACATTTAACTAATGCCACTTCTTCATGCTACATTATTTCCAGTTGGAAAAACCGACAGTTTTCTACTGCCTGCTGCTTGCTTTTCTCTAGACGTGTCTAACATACCCAGCCATGCACCCAACACCCTTTCAGTCTTTATTAAAATGATGTAGACCTTGTATAATGATGGGCATCTGGACAGCACATGTATGGATATAGTGCTTCACCACTTGAGCTACAGTGGGATCATGAAGCGCATGCCCTTCGTGATGGGCATGGCTAGGGAGGAAGAACAAACAGATCATCACGATCTGATTTTTGTTATGCTGTACCAGCAGAAAAATGCGCTGGACTTTTATACATCAGTCAGTATTTATGTCCATTAGGGATTTAATCTAAAAGCATTCTAAGGCTAATGGCCAACAATTTGTTTAAAAGGACTAGGTCAGCAAGCACATATTATAAAATGCTGTTTCTAACTGGTCATTATGTTTATGCCTCTGCTACACATGGGTGTCATAGGGCAAGAATCATATGTCCCAAGCAGGTTAGTATAGGACAGTTGGGCATCTTAATTGCCACACAGTTTTCCTTGTAAACTGAGCTTAATGAAAAACAATTACATGGACCTCTAAGTTTTAGGGGCTGCCCCTTGAGAAAGGTGTGTCTCCTGTATGTCCTTTTTTACACCTGCCATCTTCATACAGATGCCTCAGAGGCACTAGGCACTTTTATATAAGTAACTGAACTGGGCTTCCTCTATACAGCCCAGGTATTTGAATT